CCAAAATAGAAGATGACAAGATCCAGGAAGAGAAAAGTTCGGCGTCACTGCCGTACACTCACGCCAAAGATAACAATCCGCAACAAAGGCGCATTTGCCGTTAATTCCACTATGGTCCCGGGCCAATCACTTACTCAACTCCAATCATCGAACCTCATACCCGCACCGATGATCTCGGCCATCGCGTGCGACTCCCACCACTGCGATCGTCACCCCGCTGCCGCAGACTCGACACGGTTCACCCAGATCCCACAGTCCGTCGTGGCGATCCAGCGAGCAACCGGCCAGTCTATCGTCAGCCCGACAGGACTTTCCGAATCGCTTCAAACACTCTGCCTAGCCACTACTTCCCGGAAGCTGGCTTGAGAGTCGAGAACGTAAGAGAGCTTTGAGGGCGCGCTTGCGGGTTTTATAGTTGCGAGAGAGGAGATAGAAAGGGGAGAGAACGATGGAAAGGTGGGGGTGTAGGAGGAGAAGGAGGAGAAGACTTTTGGAAGAGCGCTCCGAGAACGCCATGTTGATCCCTCGGAACTCAAGGTTGAACCAATCAGATTCATCGCGCGATAGGAAGGTCCTATCGATCCACGCACCTGATTGGCGAGCGGGAGTTATCGGGGGATGGACCGGGCGTCGTACGCCAAACTCATAGGGTGAGAAGAGAAAAGGCGCGAGAGGTGGCGCAAGACGGGTCCAAGATTCAGACGATCAAGAAAGGGAAATGGGCGCGCAAACAGCAAGACGGGGGAAGGGGAGAGAGGAAGAAATAGTTACGGGGAGAGAGAAAGAGGGAGAGGGAGAGGGAGCGAGGGAGGGAGCGATGCGGGGGACAGAGAGGAGAAAGCCTCTGCATGCGTGGCGCCATCAACAAAAAAAAGGAAAGAAAAAGGCACCGAAACAGTAACGGCTTGCTTCTCTCCTAATTCAAAATTGAAATCACCATAGCCGCGCGCGAAAAAGCAACGCGGGAAGAGAAAATCCTACGCCTATTCGTATTCACGCAAAATTCCGAAAGCTTTCCGCGGCGCGCCCAAGAACATTAACACACTCGAAAAGGACACGTCGAAGTTCCGCTTATCCCGGAATTCCCAACTGCTGAGCCCAATTCCCAGTGCGCTCGCTAAGGCGCACGCAAATTCCCATGTATTTCCCGACTTTGCAAAGAAAGAAAAAGAGAACTCAGCAGTCGAAAAAGCTCTCAAAAAGGAAAATGCGGTACCTGAAAGCAAGAACTCAAAACGGGTTTTTCCTGGGGTTGGTATGATACAAGCAAAAGAAAGGGTACGAAGGATGGCCCGAGGTCGGGAAGTGGTTCGTCACACCCCTTCCATGTCCGCCTGCAACGCGCAAAAAGTCGTAGGTCCTCCCGAAGACCGGTTGAGGTGCTGCGAATAGGCGCGAGTCTCGGAAGTCCAAACGGAGTGCGTCCAAAATTTTGGACCTTAGCGTGTGCCAGAACCCGCAACCGAAACGAGGAACCACGCGAGTCCTCACGACCGTTTTGTCCACTGGTTGGGCCCAAACCAGCGGGCTGTCCCGCACTGCGAGCCTCCTCGCATCTGCCCGCTCCGCGCTGTGTTGCAAAGCGGCGGAGGTCAGCGGAGGGAGCAGCGGCGGGGCGCAAGGGCATGGCCACACCACTCTCGAAATATGAAAAGTGAGAATTGAACATTTTGGTGGAACATGGGCAGATGCACCGGGCACATTTTTTTTTGTTTTGTTTTTTTTTTCTTTCATTTCGCACGTGTTGTGGTGAGGGCGGATCAGCTGGACGGTTGCTCGCTTGCTGCTGAGCTGCGCCGAGGGCATTTTCGAATGTGCTGTGCAGCCTGTCGTTAATGGAAGCCATTGCCGGGATGGGGGAAGACGCCATGGCCGCCCGCTCTTCTCTGCGGCCGAGCGCAAGGGCATCGCCACAGCACTCTCGACATGTGAGTGATGGCCAACCTGATGTGTCGACGTCCACAGGAAGCGATGGCCAACGTTTGTAGTGATCGCGCACGTCGTCGGGTCCATACTTCGCGGGTGTGAACCCAAGCTAAGGACATCCACGTGGCGCATAAACAGCTGCCACTCCACATGCGAGTCGTGTGCTAAATTGGGAGGCAGACGGGTCCGAGCCGTAACGGCGCCACCGGACACATAAAAAAGTTCACCTTGGGCACGTCGCTGGCGGAGGAAAACTCTCCTGGCGGAGGACAACTCTTGTTCCGCAGGCAAGCAGACACTGCTTTGGCCACGCGGTTCCCGGTACCCGCCCCAATGAGGCACAGGCCCGTATTGGTACCTTCGTGGAGAAAATGCCCGCCGCCGCACAGCACACACGAAACGCACACCAATCCCATCAGGTCGCTCCGTGAGACAGTTCGTGTGTGCTGTGCGGCGGTGACGCCAGAAACGAAACGAAACGATGATTTCGGGCCTCGCGAAGCCCCGCGAGTTCGACGCTCGTTTCGTTTCATTTCTGGTGCCGTCCGGCGAGGCCCTAAATCTGCCAAGCGCGTCTCGTTTCATTTCTGGTGCCGTCCGGCGAGGCCCTAAATCTGCCAAGAGCCAGTCCGGGGTAATGACTGGCGCAGTTGTAGACCCGCTCTGAACTTGCACATTACGAAACTCACACCATGACACCGGCGCCACTTTGTCTTTTCTTGCCTATTTCGAACTAAAAGTGTGTCACTGCCACAGCTTCCCCATTTTCCCGTAGGACACCAGAGGCCAAGTCCCACTACAGCCTTGAGTTTCCTCAACGCCTGAATCTGACGTGTTCCTGGAGATGCGCAGAAATTGCGTGGAGTTTCCTTAACCGCACATAGCCACAAACGTCTCCAGATTCAGGCGTTGAGCAAACTCAACACTGCCAGTGGGACTTGGCCCCAGGGCGGGTTTTCGGAATGTCGACAAGTTTTCAAAAAGCCTTTGGCGGGGTAGCTTTTCACACGTAACAGAGCTGCGTTATTTTCCGCGGGGTGAAGCAAATTCCTATTTCGGAATTTTCATGTGTCTGAAGGTGCATGGAGGTAGATAGCACGGCGGGCCTTTGGGCCTCACCGCACCACTCTCGAAATGTGAAAAAGACAAAATTGAGGCGTGTGCATCTGGCCATGTTGTATGAGGAAGTTCATTGTCCTTTTGCACATTTCGAGACGGGTGTGGCGATGCTCTTCGTCTTCGACGGGGTGAAGCAAACACGTAATTTGGAATGAGCGCGTTTTAAGAAGAATGCCGTTTAGGCGGGGATCGAAGTCACGGCACATGGAGTGTACGGCCATGGCAATGACGAAGGATGCAATTAGTCTCTCTCTCTTTCTCTCTCTCTCTCTCTCTCTCTCTCTCGTGCGCGCGCTCGCTCCCCCCTCCTCTCTCTCTCTGTGAATAGAGCATGACAGAATTAACTACGATTGTCGTGTATGCTAGTGCTGATTAGTGCATTAATGACTAGGGACGCGGAGTAGACGAACTTTCTCTACTCGCCGTATACGACTAGTAGACTGGGCAATCGGCCGCATCGCTCGTTCAAGCTCACTCCTTGTTGCAACGCTAAACATCAGATGTCCTTGCGCTGCGGATCTCTTTCCTTTTCCGCCCTTTGGGTCTCCGACTGCAACTTAGGGCATACTCGCACTGGGGACTTTTTCCACTTAGCTGTGGACTTGATTGCGGTCGGATTCATCCAGGTCCTGTCGTAGCTGTCGTCGGATACATTTAGGAAAGTGCTGGTGTGAATATGCCCTTATTGCAGGGAAAGAAGTACGTTGTCATGTGGGCTGGGCGTTGGCTGGGCGTTGGTTGACGTATGAGAAAGATCCAGCGACGCTAGGATGAATGTGTTGGGGCCTCGCCACACCACTCTCGAAATGTGAAAAAGACAAAAAAATTGGCGGGTGGATCTAGCCATGTTCTAGCGGGAAGTTCATCCCCATTTCGCAAATTTCGAGAGTGGTGTGGCGATGCCCTTGGTACCGAACACTGTCGAGTTCGAGGGTCACGCCTGCTGAAACCATTTGCTCTTCTGCAGTTCATCCACTTGTGTCAGCAGTGCGATCACCCCGTCTTCCCACTGTAGTGAAGAGAGGGAATTGCACTCTCTCTCTCTCTCTCTCTCTCTCTCTCTCTCTCTCTCTCTCTCTCTGTGTGTGTGTGTGTGTGTGTGTGTGTGTGTGTGTGTGTGTGTGAGCGCGCGCGCGCGCGTGCATGTGTCTCTGTCTCCGCTTCCTCCTCTTTCGGTTGACCGCCTGAGTTAATGCGTATCCTTTCGGCATACCGTTGTGATTGCTCCAGACTCACGGCGAATCCTGTTCTCGAAGATGGGGTACGTAGTTTCAGTGCATCTCCGCACGGTTTGTCGAGATTCACACACTCTTGGGGCCTGAGATTGATCTACCATAGCCGACAATGAAGGTCACATGTTGCTTCAACTACCATCATAATGAGGAAAAACGCAGTAGCATGTCGGTTAATAGTTGCGGATGCAGTGGAGGTGTGCGGTTACAGATAATGATGCTAGCAGGAGCTGTGGTAGGACTTGTGATCTATCTTACGATTGCTAACTGCAGACACAGCTCATTCGCTATTCAAGTTGACTCCTTACCCTCACTGGTCGATTGCAGTCGCTCGTCATCATCCACATTCTTATCATCATCGCCATCATTGTCTTGGCCATCGTCATYGTTMTCCTCCTCCTCCTCCCCCTCCTCCTCCTCTTCATCATCATCATCATCATTGGGCGGGCAAGAGCTACGCGATCAAACCGACGAGTCAGAAGGCGAACGGCGCTCTCCCTTCTTCCAAGGTGAACGGCGCTCTCCCTCCTTCCAACGCCAACGGCAATCTCCCTCCGTCCAGAGAGGACTGCGCCTGGGCAGGCGCATCAACAAAGAGTCGCGCCAGCCAACTTTCGAAGTCGATGCGGATTTCCTGTCAGTCCAAGGCAATCTAATCGACAACCTATCTGACGACGGCTTTCAGGATCGCTGGTGGTCAGACACGTGGGCGATCTCGCTGTGGACGTAAAACCCCAGCAACCATTCATCCAAGCTATTCTTCCTTCTGGGAGACTGTGTGTGGAGGTTGACCATCGGTGACGTGTTGGACACGAATGAGGGCAGCAGCGGTTCGACGCCCCAGAGTCCCGTCGTGAGGCGGTTTGCTGGGCCCTGGTTTCCTGAGAACCTTCCCCGGAATGCGTCCGTCGTCCCTGGCGACGCCGAGCGAAGTTCACCAATTTCCGTTTCCTCGGACGCGGTGGTAATCCCTGATGACAGGGAGCGAACTCCAGGGCTGAATTTCTCAAGAGCGCTAGCCATACTCGAAGATATTCGGAGTCCTAGTGGTAGTCTTGACGCCAGCGGCGGTAGCGGCGGTAGGCACATGTTGTACGGAGGAGGGAGTGTGTTGTACGTAGCAGATTCGCTGAACTCCGCGCTGCGGGCGTTCTCTCTCGAAAATACCGAACGGATTTCGGCTGCCCCGCCTCCTCCTCCTGCTACTTCTCCTCCTCCTTCTCCTCCTCCTCCTCCTTCCGCGGTTGTTAATTACAGCAGCGTCACCGGAAATGAAACCATCCTCTCGCTGGCGATAGATTCGAAGCGCCGCATCTTGTACGCAACTTCGCGCAGCTACCTTTATCGGATGAACCTGCCAAGGAACAGCAGCAGCGGAGAGAGGCCAAGCTCGGCCCTGGAGCGTTGGATCGGTCCGTTCTTTTACGATGGTCGGAGTCAAACTAACGAGAGCTTCTTCAATCCGTACATCAGCTCGTCAGCCATCTCTAGCGACGGATTAACTATGTACGTAGCTGACAGAGAGAATCTGAAAATCCAGCGCGTTCGCACGGACACGGGAGCGGTGGAGACCATCGCCGGAGGAGGATCCCGAGAAGATGCTCTGCAGCCACTCCAGGCGAAATTCCTACGCCCCCAAGGGCTTGCTCTCACGGGCGACGGCTGTAACTTGTTCTTTTCCGAGTTTGGCGGCGGCAGAATCGGACTAATCACTTTTGCTCAGAGTGGTGGTCGGGCTGTCAGAGTGCAGACCGTTGGTTGGTACACTCGCATTCCCTGGGTTGTTTTCAATCTGTTCGGATTAGACATCTCGCCCAATGACGGTGAGCTATTCGTTGGATCGCATAATCGGCATTTATTCCAACTTGCGATTAAGAAGTCGGCGCTTCATAGCTGCCGTCCCTCCTCCTCCTCACTTTCCAGCGCATTCCCTCTGAAGGCCGTTGTGGTGGCTTTGGTTGTGTTCGTGCTTACCCTCCTCCTTTTCGGTGCTGCATTTTCCTGCTGCCGCCGACGCGCTCAACTGGGGCGGCGGCAGTTTTCGAAGTTGGACTCTGCCAGGAGCACCCAGCTCGTTCTCCCGATAAGGGCCGCTGGTTTGAGCGTATATTCTGAAGAAGAGATGGCGGCCGCTTGCGACGGCTTCAGCGCGGCGCGGTTGGTGGGAAGGGGAGGCGCGGCGGAGGTTTACAAGGGCGTGCTGCGTAGCGGGCAGGTCGTGGCCGTCAAGAAGCTCAAGGGAGAGTTCTCGGAGGCTAAGTTCCGACAGTTTAAAGCGGAGCTTGATGTGCTCGCGGGGCTTAAGCACACCCACCTCTGCAGCATTATCGGCTGTTGTGTCCGAAGTAGCTCACCGTTGATTGTATATGACCCGTTCGTGGAGGGGGGCACGCTGTACGATCGCCTGCATCCCGCGCCCCTCCAGAGGTCCACCAGAGTCGATGTCCCCGCGCAGTTGGATGAGCGCGCGGAGATAGTGAGTCAGGCTAGTGGCGATGGAAGCTCGGGCACGCTGACAGAGAACTCCACGCGCAGTGGTGGCTCCGGTGATGCTAACGGAGGATTAGCCTTTCAGTCGCAGCGGGGAGTCTTAAGCTGGCAGGATCGCGTGGCCATAGCCGTGCAGATATCGAGCGCCCTTCGGTACTTGCACGATGAAGTGGACCCTCCTATCATCCACAGGGACATCAAGAGCAACAACGTGCTATTGGAGGACGTCTATCACGGCGGTTTCGCCGCGGGGGTGAGGGCGTACTTGTCGGACTTCGGATTGGCAAAGCGAGGGCAGAGCATCTTCGGCGCGGTGCCTGCGGGAGAGACAGTGGAGACGTTCCACGTGGCAGGAACGATCGGGTACATGGCGCCGGAGTACTACACCTCTTGCAGACTGACAGCCAAGAATGACGTGTACTCGTTTGGCGTGCTGCTTCTCGAGCTCGTGACGGGTCGGAAAGCGTTTCGACCGGATCCCGACGGCTCTCAAGAGGAGGGACCACAGACGCTGACTGCCTGGGTGGGCGACATGATTGGTGAAATAGGAAGCAATCCTCGACCAGAAGGAGGGGCGGCAGACGCTGGCGACACGTGTCACATGCCGGGGAACGTGGTGGAAGAAGCTTCTGAGAACGGGACCGTAAACACGTCTTCCTCCGGTGAAAGTCACGTTTCAATGGTAAAGCTGAGTGCGAAACAAAGGGAGAGAGTGAGACAGATTGCCGATGAGCGACTGGAGAGCGCTGGTCCGGTGGAGTGGACCGCTGTGTGCGACATGCTGGAACTGGCAATGACTTGTGTGTCGCGCCTCCCGGAATCGAGGCCAAAGATGCGCGTGGTTATGGCAGCGTTATCTCTTATGAAGCCAGAAGTCTGTCTTCCAAACACTGATTATGACTCGGAGTCTTATCTCCTAGATTAGTTTTTTTTTTTTTTTTTTTTTTTTTTAATTTATTATTATTTTTAATTCCATGCTAATTTTCTCTGTATCGTTCCAATTTTAACGGATGTCCCGAAGGACCGTAGATTAGTTTTGTCTGTTGATCTTCACCCCAGTTGGGCCAGAGTGACTCGACGAGCGTGCATGGTATGCCACGTGGGTCAGGCGGACGCTACCGGTAGTGATGCAGTGAAATTGGGTGCGGGGAGATTTTGATGACGACTACGTCACTACGGTAGTCCTTGAAACTCAAGGATTCACTTTCACTTTCTCTGATTGTCTGTAAAGGCGTCACTACGGTAGTCCTTGAAACTCAAGGATTCACTTTCACTTTCTCTGATTGTCTGTACAGGAGGGGAGAGGCAAATATTGGGGAAAGTAGGGACATATTGGGCTTGGTTTTCGGTTTTATAAACTTTTTCGTTGCCTTTTTTGGGCGATGGCCTTAGGATATCATCATTGGACTAACAGGGTGGACGTTTCAGCCCCAACACCAGGGTGGGCTTAGTGCCATCATAGGAGTCCCTTAGCGTCCATACCACGTGCGAATCAGGCATGACGCTGCACCCAGCACCCAGCAGCAGCCTGGGCGACACAGGCCAAGCGTCACCCGGTAGAGGGTATTGCCAGTTGCCGTGCTTACCATACCACGTGCGAATCAGGCATGACGCTGCACCCAGCACCCAGCAGCAGCCTGGGCGACACAGGCCAAGTGTCACCCGGTAGAGGGTATTGCCAGTTGCCGTGCTTCCTCCATTACCCTCCCCTATGAGCATCAGCCGTTTCTGCTCAATGCCACGAATCAGCCCGTGGAGCGTATTGCCAGTTGCTGTGGTTCCCCCATTACCCCTCCCCTATGAACATCAGGCTATAGTGGGGATCAGCGGGCTAGCTCTTGAATCAGGACAATGGGAGTTGAACCCAAGACCTCCTGAATGCCACTTGCATGCCTTACCGACTGAGATAGGCCGCTGTCTATAGGTGGTGGGCTTTTTCTCGATTTATGCGTGTCATCCTTGCGCAGGGGCCATGCTGATCTTCTCTGTATCGTTCCATTTTTTTTAATTTTTTTTATTTTTTTTTGGAGAAAGTGTTGAAGTTTTTATTATCAAGGAACAAGTTGAGGCCGGGACCTCACAATTCTACCCGGAAACAAAGCTGGGGCCATTACCCAGAATCGGCTCATAAAACCAGGTCCCTCGTCCCTACACTCGCCCCTCAACTAAAAAGAAAATTCTCCAAAAAAAAATAGCGCTTGAACTCATGAAATAAGGATGGGAGCATTAGATACCTCCGGGTCTGTACCTAACCTCCTTATCATGCCTACCTGCCCCATAATCTGTATAACAACAATACCACTTCCCAGCCCTATGCCAACACAAAACACAGGACCTAGCAGGTAGACATGAAGAGATAACAGGGGGAGTATCCATCCTACCTAAAACATAACGACATAGGAAAGAAACACCATCTTACTCAGGGAGGGGTACTAAAGCGTTCCCCATGACCTAACGTGGTCAATAACCAGGAACAAAAGGAGAGCTTTCCCCTGTCGTCTATCACTGCCATCTCTGAATTCCTCCCCCAGTTCTCATAGAACCATTTCCTTTGATTCGGACCGATTCCTCGAGAGATACGTCTGTTCCAATCACAAATCACCGTCCTTCGTAAATCCGCTGTAATTCGCTTCTTGATTTGAATGTCCGACATACATTGTCCACAGAACAACTGATTGTTTCTTTCATCCCAGATTACGTTCATGATGATCGCTCTGATCACCTGAGCTACATACTTCCATTCGTTCTTGCCTTTACTGCAACCTGTTAATATCCATTCGTCTGACCACTCAAAGCTGTCCTTAGTGATTTTTGTCCAATGTTGGATCCACCAATCCCAGACTCGTCTTGCTGCTGGGCAAGTCAGCCAGAGGTGTCTTGTGGTCTCCCACCCCCATCTACACTTCGGGCAACTAGTAGGTATCTCCATCCCTTTCGCAGCTAACCAAACTGACGATGCAGTGGCGAGAATTGCTTGAAGCCACAGCATACTAGCTAATTTCTGAGATGGGAGACTCTTAAGTTCCACCCACAGACCTTGCATTTCTTAAAATGACGTGCCTAAAAAAGCCGTGTTCCACTCGTCTTTTGGCCACTGTGGCAAAAGGATGTTTCTTAATCCTTTGTCTGAGAATGTCCGTGCCTACTTTTGGTTTATATTCCGTCATAGCTACCATTCTACGTTTCTCCTTACTGAACCAACCCACTGACAGTTTTGGGTTTACCCCAATAGAGGTGAGTGGTTGTCCTTGCACTAGCAGTTTCCTGCTTATTGAAGTCGTAGAGGTCGTAGGGATCCTGCTGCTGGCTATGGGCGGCGACACCAGTACTTCTTGCAGGTCTGCCAAAGAGTCCAATTTTCCTTTGTTGCCTTGAAGTATTTCGTAAGTATATGAAAAGGCCTCAGACTTATGCCACCTGCAACCTTCGAATCCTCCATCCAAGGCAGGGCCCAAAACTTGCCAACAGTCATACTCCCCATCTTCGTTCAACTTTCTCATCCAAAGTCCCTCTTCAGGAATGAGATTAGCATGCAGAATTCTCTTCCAGCTGTCTGGGATAGCATCTATCAGTTTCTGCAGTTTCCTTGAATACCTCTCACTCTTGACAACTTCTGTTTTAGCCTCGTCACCTCTATCCAGTCCAGCTTATTTTCGTCCCAAATATCTCTCACCCTGACTATTCCCTTTTCTATCCAACCTTTACCAAAATGACCCGCCGAACCATTTGCTAGGAAAGTAGTAGCCCCCTCCTCCTCTTTGATATGCGGATTTTCAAACAAAATTTCTGACAAAGCGTCTCTTGAAGTTGGGTGTTCCCTCTCTGTTGGAATGAGCTTTTTCCATGCTTTCAAGATACCCCCCCAGAATTTTGACTTGAGCTGTTTGTTCACATACGACGGTATCATCAGGCAAGCCAGAGCATCTTCCTGTCTACACAATCCCCATTCCTCACTTAGGATCTCTGCAATCCTAACGCCAGCCAAGGTTCGTTTTGAAAGGAAGTCAAGGCTTTGATTGACCATTTGGCCAGCAGAGCTTGGTTTGGTTGTCTGGGGTCAAGAATTCCGAGCCCCCCCCTGGTGTCTAGGAAAAGTTATGGTTTCCCATGCGACTTTCGACAAAAAGCCTTCATGTTCCAATGCCTCTGGTTTCCAGATGAAGCGTCCCGCTGCTAGCTTTATCTTTTGATATGCCTGATCTCCCAGGTAGTGAACCACCAGAGTGAACCAGAGAACCGAACCTGCTGCTGACGTTAAAACCAAAGCTCGCCCCAACAAAGATAAATGTCTTGTTTGCTTCCAAGTCAAAATCCTGCTGCAGTATTTTTCTACCAAAACGGCATCTTTTTTTTCTTTTTTTTGTTTTTTTTTGGGGGGGGGGGGGGGGACAAAGCTCCAATCTATTCGTGGGGAGCAACACGTGCTGGGAACCGGGCCCAGCGTCCCATATGGAAATTTACACAGAATTGAAATTTTTTGAAGTTTTAAGATACCGGGGCCGTTACCCGGCTATGGCTAAGAAAAATTAGAACTACTAAGGAAGATTGCAACATCAAACTACAAGCCATCAACCCTCTTTACCTCCCTCCGGCAAGACTTACTGCAGCAGAGCCACCATCTCCGCTGCTGCTGTACCCTAATTCCATCCAACTAGCTAGCCCTCCTCACTAATAGGACGCTTGACATCCCACCATCTACTTATCCCACTCACCTCAATTTTTAGAAATTCGAGAAGATTTGAGAAAAATATAGAGAAAATTGGAGAAACGAAAATCAGAGCTAAAACCACCACCAATTCAAATCAAACCCTCACTACAGCCGAGAAACCGCCACTCAAGCCTTCAGTTCTCGTACCAGAAGTCACCAGTTCTCACGCCCCCCTTGCTAGGGTTACAAGGCAAAACAAACTGCCCCAGCACCAAACTAACTGTCTTCTGACGGACAGGAAGTGTCTTCCTCCCTCGACAACTTCCTTAGCTGCCACCCCCCAACCGGGTTACAGGGTCACTGCCCCAGCCTCAGCTACGTTGAAAGAGGTGGTTATGCCTTCCACCCTGGGCAGAGCTTCAATGGCCTCAAGCTCCTCTCCATGGTCACAGAGCCACTGCCCCAGCACCGGCCACTGTCGCCCCACCCCGTCATTCTGGTAGACTTACCACCCTGAGTCACCCTTCCCCTACTGCGCGAGCCCCCCCCAAAATCACTTCCAAACCCTACTTCCGATTTTCTCCCTCCATATGAAAAAACGAAAAGGAGGAAGGTCAAGAACTACAACCAAAATGGCATCTTGATACTCTGAATTATCCTATTGTGAGACTTGAACACCCAAAAAACGTTCTTCCAATTTTAACAGATGTCCCCAAGGACTGTTGGGCTTTTATTGCCCTGTGGTTCATGCTTTTTCTTACAGAGAAGAGGTCCCAGGGCAGGGGGTCTATCTAGGCCAGGTCTGCGCCTAGTCTACTACCCTCTGTCCCTGCAGAGAAGCTGGGAAATGGTCCCGGTAAATTTCCGCGTTTTATTGTGGAGGAATTCCCGGCCTCCTCCTCTCTAATTGGCAATAAAGATTCATGTTTTTTTTTGGCGGAGGGTTGAAACTGTGGCTGTGGGACACTTTTAGTTTGAAATAGGTAAGAAAAGACAAAGTGGTGCCGATGTCATGGTATGAGTTTCGGTATGTGCAAGTTTAGCGGGGGTCTAAAACCGCACCAGTCACTACCCGCAGTGGTGCTTGGCAGATTTAGGGTCACCTTTTTTCTTGCTCCATTTGGGGATCTGCTAAAGTTGCCTATTCTGAACGTCCTGTGGGACTCCAACGTACTTGCCCCTTTTGCTTTTTTCAATCATTGTCCGAGCGCAGACAAAACTACCTGGAGGGTGATATGAGCACCTTCCAAGTTGGAGTCTGCAGATTTTCGATGGCTACTACAATCTATTCATGGGAAGCAGCACAGCCAGAAACCGGGTTCGGTGCCCCATTCACACACTGTTCAAAGCAGGCTCAGCCC